AGAATGTTATAATTTATGAATAAATGCCTGAGTGGTTTCTTTTTCTCTGTAGAAGGGAATCTCCTATTGTTACTGGTTATATATGTTATATGTTACATATGTTACTAGTTACTGTTCTGAGAGATCACATTGTCTTCATCAAGGTAAAATTCTATATCTTAATGGCTTTTAGTTTAATCTAGATAATATTAAGATGTTCATAACATTTATCTACTTTCAGTGCTTTCAATCACAGACAAAAAAAGCAAGAATTACCTTATGATTAAGTAGAACTGAACATCCTGGCTCTAGCAAATCCTTGTCTACAAAAGAAAGAATACTGACATAGTGTTCTGATCCCACTGATGTGGACACAATAGCATGATTATCATCAATTATCTCCTCCAAGGTCCCTACAGACATTGGAGTCCCTCTCAGATCATCCACCTTTGACCTCTCTTCCTGCAAACAAGCACACAAAAAGAAACTATGATTATGTATTACAAATTGCCAGGCATCCCAACAATCTCTATATCTATTACACAATTAAGAAATGATAATTTTATGGCATCCTCAACAATCCCAAAACAGAAGAATTGTCTAAGTATTCTCACTATTAATAGTATCTCACTATTAACATCTAAGTATTAAGCATCTAATATCTTAATACTTAAGACCTCACACAAATGCTATTTCAATTACATTCTCAGAAATGACTTAAAATAGTCAATTGGTATTATCTACCTCTACAGTCAAACTAGGTCTGGTTTATTTCTACCTTTCTCATAATGGAGAATGAAAACTGAGATTCCCACAAGGATCATCTATGAAACTGGGACTGAGATTTAAATGATCTGTATTAGGTCAGCAAGATTATTTAGTCAAATTACTTGATGACACCAAACTATTTAAGAGAGTTAGTCTAAAAGATTTTTCCAATCCATGAGGAAAGAGCATTTGAATGGCATTTAAATGGACATATATTAGTACATAAATTTAACAGACATTTAACTATAAGTAGGTAGTAAATGAAATAAACTCTGCATTATCTAATGGGGTGTGAGATGAGAAAGGAAAAGGACTTTAGGATTATGGTGATCAATAGAATCAAAGTGCTGACTATAAATATCTTGTTGGAACAGAATTATAGAATTCAGAGATTTTTAGGTTCTTTTATGATGTTACTGCAAACATGCCACCACATTATTACTCAAACTAACTTCTACTCTATATATATATTTCTATATATAATCGGGTACAACTCAAAAACCACCTTGCTTAGCAATGAAATTATTGTCCCAATTGTGGTTGTAAGTTATATTCTACCTTTATTTAAAATTCAGATCAATTGGTATGAAAGAATACCATGGCATTTTAGAGATTTAACATTTGTTCTTTTTCATATAGTCTTTTTTCATATGGGTGAATGAAGTGAAGTTAGAAGATACAAAATAGAGGATAAGTAAGTTGATAACCAAAAAAACCCACAACCTGATAAATGTAAGCAGGGTTTTTTTCTATTCAAAGCATACATACCTCTTGCTTTTCTTCCAAAGGTTTCATCTGTTCCTGGTTTCTAATGAACTCTTCCTCCATCAGAAGATAATCCTTAATTCTTTCCAGCTTCAATAATTTGAGTCTGCACTGAGTATGAGGAGTGACTACAATTAAATGAAAGAGTTTCTAAATGTAGGGTCTGGAATAATATATTCAACTTGTTTAGGTGAATTGAAAAAAGGGACAGCGAACTAAAATGATTTTAAAATTCCTATCTTTTTTCTGGGATGCTCTTGTTCCTATTATTTTGGGCACTGCTTTTTGATGGAAGAATTTTGTCTTTTTGCATGGAACTGATGTAGCAATATGTGAGACTAAACAAAATCCAAGGACATGATTTAAAGAAATTCTTGAGAGGGCTGCATCTTATTCCAAGGAAAGGTAAATCATGTTTTTATGTTTGTAAAATAATCAGTTCCTGAAATCAATTAAAAAATGTGGCTTCTTCCAATTCTATGATTTAATGTTTGGATCATATGAAATAGTAGCCTAAAGATGAAAACATCTTTAGTGTTTTTTCTATTTCAGAACAAACCACTGTGTAACCTAGTTCAGTCCCAGTTACTCTTTAACCCTTCAATGTTTCAAGCTGAGAGCTTTGAAAACTAAGTTGCTCATGTACGAAATGGGGGCTTTTTGCATGCTGAAAAAACTACCTATATCTTAGCTATAGCTACTCGGGGATATGGCACAAACCATGCTTACCCAGTGGAAGTTTGCTGGCAGCATCTGGTCCCTTTGTTTTCTTCTTCTTTTTCCCCACTCGTGTTGGAACTGGAGGTTCATATTTCTTCTTTTTGTCCTATAAGATTCCAACACAAGTTCCAGAAGGTTTTGTCAAATATTTCAAAAGTTCTAAATTGCCCAATATTTCATAAATCATCTAAAGCAAACTTTAAAGTCATTATATTGCTTTCTAGATAAATTGGGATTTAACTTCCATAATTCTCCATGGCATAGAGCCTGATTACTTGAGGGACTGCCCGTCTCCCATAGTGTCTGCTCAGCCAATTGGTGTGTTCCAGATTGAAATGTCATCTATTGGGACCACAGAAACACATCTTCTTTGTAGCAGGGCCTGACCTCTGAAATTAGGATGGCCTCCAATCTATTGTTGTTTAGAAGAAGTGTGAAGACCTATCTCTTTGCCCAGTCCTTTGGCAAGGGAGGGTGAGACCGCTTGTTTCATTCCATTTGGTCTCCCCCACTTTCCATTTTTATTTAATAATTTTGTAGTTGTGAGCTGGCCAGAGTTACTGGGAGTCTGGCAACATATAGGCTTAATAAATTATAATTATTATCAGTGTGCCTACAGGGATGGCTTAAACATTGAATTATGAACTATGATTTGTCTTAACTATGGTTATTAGAAATTATTAGACAGTTTCAAATTTTGAGCAGAACTATAATTTCTATTAAATCATAGGGTCCAGATTAAATAAATTATAATCAATAAAAATGAAAGAGAAAGGCACATAAATCATGGCATATTTAAATTGACTACTTATCCATATACACTACAGTAATAGCAACTACATAATTCTGAAAACTAGATCACTGCAATGAAAATTTAACATCGGTTCATAATATATTAAAAACACAATATTTTATTTTCTGAGTTTTTATATATTAAGGGCAACTGAGGAAAAATATATATTTTTAGCATGGAAGATGTTTTCTACAAATATTCTCTTAACAAAACACACCAGGTAAAAGTTATTTTTCCTTACTTTGTCATCCTTCTTGCCACCTCCAGGACCATGTCCACCACTCTGACTCTGACCCTACATTTGGAGACAAAATATCAATGAAACTCAGAAAAGGAAAAAAAAAAAGGCAACTATACCATAAACTATATACAAACTCAAAGTCAGTTTTTCCTTCTGAAACAACTGTCAAAAGAATGAAGACAGAAGTAATTCCCCTTTCATTCTTCTGACATTGTAAAAAAAAAAAAAAACTGTTCCAGAAAACTCTCCAGGGAAATGCTATAAAAATAAGGAAATGTTTTTGATATGCAAGAAATCCATACAGGCAATACTGATTTCTCCCTGGGTCCAATTCATTTTAATGACCTTCTAAGCATAAATAAGACATGACTTTCTAAGAGTCCTTTTGATGATTACCATTTTAGCAGAAATTCTGAAAAACGGAATCATATTCCGTGTTGTATACAAAGCGGTAAACAAATGGTAATTAAAACAGGAAGGGGGGGTATACTTTAAGCATCCTAAATTATCTGCAGCAACCAATTTATCAGTTAATTTTTCGGCTGAAAAATCTCAGACAAGAATATCTGTGCATTTAAGGTCACTAAGTAACACTGAACCTAATTAATGTAACAAATAGCAAAAACACCCTTAGGAGTCATTGAACTGCTACACATATAGCTTGAAGCTGGCTGGCCCAAGGAGCAATAAGTAAGAATTTTCTGTTTTGATGTTGGTTGCAATCTTGCAATGCAACCCTGGTTTAGAAAAAGCGAAACTGTAAACATTCCCACATCACACAAGGATGTCTGTAAATATAATGCATATTGTGTTTCTCTCTGTATGTGTACATATGGAAAAAGTATATCCACACCGAGATATGTGTGTATATATCATATATACATCCCTGACTGCTCTTTAGAAGGCCAGATCCTGAAGATGAAACTCAAATACTTTGGCCACCTAATGAGAAGGAAGGACTCACTGGAGAAGAGCCTAACGCTGGGAAAGATTGAGAGGAAAAGAAGAAAGGGATGACAGAGAATGAGGTGGCTGGATGGAGTCACTGAAGCAATAGGCGTGAGATTAAATGGACTCTGGAGGACGGTAGAGGACAGGAAGGCCTGGAGGAACGTTGTCCATGGGGTCGTGATGGGTCGGACACAACTTCGCAACTAACAACCATCATATATACATATATACTCATATATACGAGACCTGCACATTGGACAACCGCCCAGCAGTTAGAGGGATAGTAGTTAAAATGGTGGTGACGGGAAGAACGCCTCATTTTCTTTTCTGACTGTCGTCCGAAAACAGTAAGAAAATCATACATTCCCTACATATCCGAGGCTATTTTGGCCTAACCGCCCCCCGCCCCCCAAATACCGCTTCCCCGCACTTCTCCGCTATGGAAACGAAGCGATCATGACATCGCATAACAGCGCCCAAAGGACCCAGGCCGGGAGGAAAGGATACCCTGGCTTAAGGGAATCGGTCTCACCCAGGGGACATTTGGAAGAGGCTCCAAACGGGCCTTAAGAAGCCCCCCCGCAGCCCCCCTCCCCCCACAAGCCCCCTTTTTTTCCCTCACCATCCTGCTCCCTCAGAGTCCAACCCCGGAAATCGAACGGCTTCCTAGAGGAGCCGGAACGGAAGTAAGCGCGATACGGGGCGCGAGGAGGGTCAATTCTCTGTTTGGGCGAGAGCGAGAAAACGAGAGAGAGAGAGAGAGAGAGAGAGAGAAGACGAAGGCGGGGTTAGGTGATCGTCGCCTCCCAGAGGGCGGAGGCGGGAAGGGAGAATTGAGGATGGAAAGGGTGAATTGGCCTTTTGGTGGGTAGGGAAAGCCTCTAAGCCGTTGGTTTATGACGGGTGTGTATGTGAGCTGCATCTAACGATTCCTGGTGAGATAACAAATCCATATTAAGTCAGTAGGGGTGTGGGGGGGGGCGTTGCTGCTTGCGGCAGAATGACTCCTTTTTCGACATCTACGAGACGAAGAGACGAATGATAAAATAAGCTTTCATATATTTCAGATACCGTGTCAGTGGTCCGTGACAGTTTACGCTCTAATTCTTTTGTCTTGCTTTGAACCGCGGAGCGATAGTAAGCAGGCACCTAAACTGAAATAATATTTTAAAGATAATCTCTTGAGAGGCAGATATGTCCATTGATGCTTTTGGTAGCTGCCTGCCACAAAAGGAAGGTTAAAAGCCAAGATACCCAATGGCATAAGTGGAAGTAGGAGAAGCTTCTTTTCCTTTTCCTTTTCCTAAAAGACTATCTATCTATCTATCTATCTATCTATCTATCTATTTATTTATTTTATTTCTATACCGCCCTTCTCCCGAAGGACTCAGGATGGTGTACAGACTAGAACCAGAGATCAGCCAATGAAATTGAATCCTGGAAGAATCAAGGCAGACAAAAGGAATTTACACCACGTGCAATTATACTTTACAATTCACTACCGTGTGATGTAGTGCTGGCTACCAATTTGCTTGGCTTCAAAAAAGAGTTGGACCCTTTCACTAAAAACATGGGAGTCAATTGACTCTTAGCCTTTTGAGGTCAGTGTGACTGCCTCTGAAAGCCATATACTGGGAGACCTGTGGGCAACTGTGAAGTTGGTTGGCCACTGTGTGAACAAATTGCTGGATTCGATGGGTTAGAAATCTGATCCAGTAGGGTACTAGTTATAGTCTTACATATAGGTAGTCCTCAACTTACAATAGTTCATTTAGTGACCATTCAAAGTTACAACGGCATTGAAACAAAAGACTTATGACCATTTTTCATACTTATGACCATTGCAACATCCCCATGGTCCCATGATCAAAATTCAGACACTTGGCAACTGACTCATGACAGTAGCAGTGTCCCAGGGTCATGGTGATCACTTTTAGTGACCTGAGAAGCAAAATTCAATGGGGAAGTCAGATTAACAACTGTGTTAGTAACTTAATTGCAGTGATTGACTTAACAACTGTGGCAAGAAATGTTGTAAAATGGGGCAAAACTCAACAAATGTCTCACTTAACAACAGAAATTATGGGCTCTATTGTGGTCGTAAGTCGAGGACTACCTGTAGTCATTTTTAAGCCAAACCTGTGGTAATTCACCTTTTCTCCCCAATGGAACTAATAAAGAGCCTCCAAATATGCAAAAATGATTTTTAAGTTTCTTATCATGCTCTATTTCTCTTCTTAATAATATGATATAGTTGTTAGAATAGTAAAGTTTGACTAGTGAGATTCAGTTCCAAGTACTGACTTAACCACAGAGGTCATTGGATGAATTTGGACCAGTTATTCTCTTCCCTCCCTATCTATCTCATAGGATTATTATGGAAATAATATCAGAGAGACTACCATGTATGCTACTTTGACCACTCATAAGAAATGTGACACTTAAATACAAAAAATAATATTGGCACATCTATTAAATTGTCTTGTCTTCCTCACTATTGCCCACAATTGCCTAATTTTGTTCTCCCTATTTTCTCTCCTGAACAGGACTTCTGGAATTTGAATTTTAAGTACACACCTATAAAATTGGCCATACTTCCACTATACTGATTGCTGTTAAAAGTGTGATAAAAAAAATAAACCAGCAGAGGTCTCTCTATAGCTACATTGGACATTGCTCACTGCTTAGAAATCAAAGTTGCACAAATCAAACTATTTCTCTTTTCACTTTGTAAAAATAATAGTGCCTGGTTTCTGGTATGCTCCTTGTGTGTGAAACCTCTTCTGCTTCTGTACAGAAATAAAAGGCTGTGTCTTTTCTTGATCCTATGTGGACATTGCTTTTTATGCATCGGGTTCCCATACCCAGCCAGCCTTCTGGCTAACATAGGTAACCCTCTGGGGATCCTCTGTCTATCATGTCACCTTAAACAGGGTCTCTAGGCAGCTATCCATGGACACAAAAAGGGCAGAAAAGTTATGATGCTTCACAGTTCTGACTCCTACAAAGTAGGCCTTAATAATAGCTCTAACCCATTTTTATAAAAAAATGTAGACACTTAAGTGGCACATTATGAGCAGTACAGTATATAAACTGAGAATCTAAGGTAAATGTATATATTTGCAATATTTATATCCCATCTTTCCTCCAGGAGCATAAGCCAGCAAAACCTGTAAGAAAACAAAAAAGAAACCACAAGCTCAAATTATTTAAAATGGTTAAAACTAGATTTGTCAGGCACAAAAGACCAGGATCACCCGTAAAGTTTCAATTAAACTGATTCATTATTTCTCATGCCTATGCACAGGAATCAACTCAATTAATGGTTAGCACCAGTGGTGAAATCTAAAATTTGTTACTACCGGTTCTGTGGGTGTGGCTTGGGGGGAGGGGTAACGTGACTGGGTGGGTGTGGTTAATTTTTTTTTTTACTTTTAAAACCATTTTTTACATGTAAAACCATGTAAAAAAATGCTTTCAAAAGGCTCTGATGATCCCAGTTGAGTTGCCTGATCGTCAGAGGGTTTTTAAAAAACCCTCTGCTGATCAGGCAACTCAGCTGGGATTGTGAGAGCTTGGATCTTCAGAAGCATTTAAAAGAAAAAAAGCCTCTGATGATCGCGTGGCTCAGCTGGGCATGGGGGGCGGGGACAGGGATTTTTGCTACCGGTTCTCCGAACTGCCCGCCGCCATCGCTACCTACTCGCCCGAGCCGGTCCGAACTGGGAGCATTTCACCCCTGGTTAGCACTATTTTGGTGCTAGGTAAGAGTCAATGGAACTCAAGAGGTTAGACTTGCTCTGCTTGTGGCTTTGTAGTGACTCTAGGTTTAGCCTTCTTTTGACTCTGCCCCCAGGGTCTGCCACCTCTTTCTCCTACAAGTTATAAGAAATGACTTCCAGCATATCCAAAATTATTATTAGGATCTTAGCTCTTCAAAGGAGTAAATGGTCAAACAAAAATGGCATTGAATTAAAAGTAATATCCAAGTGCAGCTGACATTTCAAATTTAGTAAATGGAAAAATAATATATTTTCCGTTGGGAGATACAGTTCTAAAAATGCCTGCAGAACTGTATTGGGTACTGCAAAATGACTTTGATAGAATGTATGGCACTATTTATATCTAATTAAGTAGCAATAGCTCATGATTTGTGTTTGTATTCTTCTAGATGGAAAATAGAATTTCCATTATAATTCATGATTTATCTTGTTCTGCAAGTGTACATGCATAAGTAAGAGGAATTTTTTGCACTAAAGAGCTTTTAAATGTACAACCAATATAGTAACAACTATTAAACAATAAGATGTGGGCTGCCTAGCCTCAGGAACAACAACAAAAAAATTAAAAAATGGATTGCTAGATTCAAGGCTAGAACATTTTCTGAAATGGCTTAATATATTTTGATGCACTGCTCTAAAGCCATTGGAAGAAAGGTGAGAAATATGTTATAGATGTAGCAGAGGATAGAATAAGTAACTTTTTTTTCAAATCATTCATGATATGTGGTATGCTGTCTAGTATTTTCAAAAGAAAAACAAGTATATTTTTTGGGCTCTGGGTGGCATGCGTCACCTTTCCTCAATGGCAGTAGTAAGTACCATAACATTTTCTTCTTATCAGATTAGCTCATTTGGGGACCTCTTGCTTTAAGATACAATATCTGGGCTGCAAACTGTAACTCTTTGCTGCCACCAGTGTTTGTCCAGTTCTTTTCAGTCTGGATTTGTTTTGTTTTATTATTTTATTTTTTATCACTTATTTGCATTCAAATTATTGCCTTATTATTCCTGTTTTTCTTTCACTGAGAACCGATGCACATATATTTCTATATCTAAAGCAGATCTTACCCTGACAACCTGCTCTTCCTTCTCTTTCTATTTCCCTGTCAAACTAATAATCTAGTGCTTTTTTCCCCTTATCATCCAGCTCCTTCCTAGAACCTTTCTTTCTTTCTCTTCCTTAGACAGAAAAAAAATAATTTAAATCCTCAGTGGCAGTCAACCACTATTATTGTTGTTATTCAGTCGCTCACTCTTTGTGTCTCACTCTTTGTGACCCCATGGAACATAGCATACTGAGCCCCACCCCCTCTGTCCACCACTGTCTCCTGGAGTTTGCCCACATTCATGTTAATTGTGTTGATGACACTATCTAACCATCTCATCTGCCATCCCCTTCTCCTTTTGTCTTCAGTCTTTCTCAACATCAGGGTCTTTCCCAATGAGTCAGCTAGGTCAACTTGAAGAACCAAGGTTCAGAATGCAAAACAGAAATCAAGGACACCAGAACATGAATCTGAAGTTGACAGGATCATTCCGAAAAAGAAGCGAGTGACCCTTTGGAGTTCCTAATGTATCATTGAGCTGGGTGTTGGATGGGATCAGTATACACATCAGCTAACTCCTCCAGCACCTGCTGCTGTTCGTTGAGTCAACCTCAGGTTGTTGGTTGATTGCTTATTGAATCCTGAGGTTGACAATTCTGCTGAGCAGAAACCATAATACCATCAAGCAATTGCCGAGAGAAAATGGATGATATTATCAGCGGTTTAAAGTGACTGTTTGTAGAGATTGTCCGACATTTTGAGGAGAGCCATTTCATGTTTGGTGAAAGGCTGCACGCAGACCTACAAGTGGCATTGCTCACCACTGCTCATGGGGATATATGCTTATATAAGCCCAACTAGACCAGAGAAGTCACATGATTCCAGATACAGATTGCATAGAAAGAGATTGCTTTATGCCCTTTTTTCATGCCATATTACGTTAAGTGTTAGCTTCATGTGACACAAACCTTTGGTCTATCTTCAGCCTGTTGATTGTGCAGACACTCAGAAATACATTTTATGATTAATAAATTGTAACTCTATTGTGGCACATCAAACTTGCAGGGATCACACCAATCCTTAAATAAATGCATCTTTAGTTTTAATGAACCCCTGATTGCAGTGCTATCTCACAGTAATACGTTGACATACATATATAATTATATTTAGTGTTAATAATGCAAACTGAATTGGCTTAATGAGTTGACATTTTCCTCTCCTGAAGTAATCTCAACACCTGGTTGGGCACATGATGAATTCTTGTGTCTGGGTGCCAGCTTGGGATCACTTTTTAGTAGGGCTTTCATGCATGGGCTGCAAATATCCATACGATCCCTAAATGGCAATGGCATTTCTATATCTTTTTGCTACCATTGTGCACTCATCTGAATTTTTGTTACTCAGTAGAAACCCTGTCTTTGAGGCTGGTATAATAAAATGTGAATCTACTATTATGTAAATAAATGGAACTGATAGTTAGGAAAAGTGCTTGTAATAGTTCAGTTGGACAATTCACTATCCTTCAAGCTATGAAAATGAATCCATGAGAGATTAGAGCCTTAATTAAAATCAGACAATGACATCTTCAGGACTAATGCCAGATTGGACTGTATTTCCTGTGATAACTCTTGATTGTTACTGGAAACTGCTATACTGCTAGTTTTTGCTCACGAAAGCTTGCAGATCCTTCTGCATCTGATCAGGCAAAGAGTCAAAGAAGAAGTGTGCTAGGGAAGATAAATATAGGAGATTAGCAATTTGATAGACAAAAAATAGACAAAATGAGAAACAGAAGAACTTTCTATCTCTCTATCTAGACGACCCTTCCTTTGTAGTCGGAAATTGTAAGGTACTAAAGAGCAGTGCAACGGAAATCAGTTTTAGGAAAATAAAAGAAAGTTAATTAAAATAAGACATGTGGTTGACTTTTGAGTAGTCCTGTTTACCTTAATAATAGACTACCCAGAACCATTGTAATATTTGGTGAGTGCACAAAGTAAAACTATATTAAAATATCATGTTACCTAGGTAGAAAGAAAACTTGACAATGATATTAGTCATAGTTAACAGCTATACTTCCCTTCTTTCATTTATGTGCTCTGATATATATCCCTGGTTCTGGTGAGAATTACATGATACACAAAGAATTGTTCTCATTCTGAACTGGTTTGTTCTGACCTAGGTTTCCTGAGAAAGCAGTGCTGTTCCTTATTGCCCACAGCCTTCATTATGGCTGTTGATGTTTGGGTAGAGCTGTTCTTTGGTTTATGATCTTCCCTCCTTCCTTCCTTCCTTCCTTCCTTCCTTCCTTCCTTCCTTCCTTCCTTCCTTCCTTCCCCATCCTGTTTTCTGTCATTTCTGAAAATTAAAATCACATTTTTTCCCAAAGTTACCTGAAACACATACACCCTTCAAACCCTGTAGCCAGCAATAAAAAACAGACATAGCAAACCATCTCTATTGTGAGTCTTTTTGAAGGAAGAATAAAAGCTAGTAAAAATTTTAAAACTCTTATCAGCAAAAGGCTTAACTACAGGTCTGAAGCTGAGGAAGACGTATCCTTACAATGTCTGCAAATATGTGCAAAGTATGTTCTGCAAGACAAAGTTTGGTACATGTCCAGAGTAAATACTCTAGCCATGTCTAGAACATATTCTTGAAGGGCAAATGTCTGTGACTTAGTCCTAGCAAATCTGGACCAAAGCAGGAACTTTTATTCAAATAGCATGAAAGCTGGGTGGGGGGGGGTTGGATGTACTGTAGAATTGTCCTCTAAGTCTTTGAAGCAAAGGGTTAGGAGAGGAGACTCCATGCTTGTGTGCTTTGTAGGGATTTTTGTGTATGTGTATGTGTGTGTGTGAAAATTACACAAGATGCAGTTATGCTGCCTTTAACTGCCTTATTACTGTAATTTGGCAACCCAGTAAATGGTAAGATTAAGACAAATAGTACATTGGATTAACTGTAAATTCAGTTACTCTAATTTTTTTTTAGA